AATGAAAAATTCAAAAGGCGCACAGTCAAAGGCTAAGTCTGGCATGATTCCACGGAGAAGAAGTAGATCTCTGCACTTGGCACAGTAAACTTGGAGCGCATAGACATAAAGAAGCCGTTGAAGATGTAAACGGGATCTTTGCCCTCAACCTCCACCAGTCCGCAGTAGAAGCCGCCACCAAACTTCACCAGCTTCTTGGCGTCCTTCGCCTTTCCCCATGCCACGTCCAGCTGGGCAGCATCGATGCCCAAATGTTTGCACCCGTCCATCGCATTGAAGACCTTGCCAGACTTCAGCGCCTCATCCCAGCTCAAGCCAAACTGCGATTGGAACTTGTCCGTGGGCACGTTCAGCCTTCCATTTGGTTAAGAGATCCCAGAAAAACAAAATATTTACAGTAGTGACAGAATTATGACAAATTCCTTTTAAACCAACAAGGGAAAGTCACAAAAATACTTAAGCAAATGGAAGCAGCTCTTCTGGCTTCATGATCGTGGCCTTGGACGCGATGGCGTAGTAATGCTGGTCAATCAGCTTCTTCTGATCAATGGCCTCCCGCTGACCAAAAAAAAACAAATGATCCCCAAATCCCAAAAGCTGAATTAAGAATTGGAACTCCAATTAAATGACTTTTCTCGTGGATTGAGCGCGGTATACCCCCGGATGGGTGAGCTCGCTCTAAAATAGGCAGCGCCAAGCGCAGAACCGCAAAACCCCTCTTTAGCTCGCCACAACTTGCTTCCGATGGAGTGGGCTGATGGCTCTTCTTTTTTCCTCGGACGTAACTCTGTCATGAAGAAAGAGGGAGTGAGACCTTTGACAACCCCACAGTTTGCACTACCCAACCTCCCTCTAATCTCCCTGTGCCAGAAAAACAACAAAACAAGGCCTGGGTTCCATGGCGGGAGGGGGAAGCCAGGAAAAACCATCTTGCGCAGGGATGTCTTTCAGGCGATTGACTCCATGGAACTCCCCTTCTCACTTCCAATCGAGATGGATATCCAAAACACAAACATGTAAACAACCTGGCACCCCGTATGGCTGTTTTTTTCGGTCAAAGGCGTATGACCCCAAAAAAACGGCCATATGGGGTCCCAGGAAACTTGTATGCCACGAACAATTGTCCCAAACCCAGCGACCAAAGTTGGTTGCCCAAATGCCCCAAACCGGTAGTGAGCCTTGGGAAAAGGATGCGACTCATGTCGTCACAACGAAGAGAGCCAACGAGTTCTGGAGACGATTGTCGCTTCACTGCCCCGTTTAAAAAAAAAAAAAAAAACAGGACACTCCAACCGCCGGATATCGGTTTCGAACCTCCCCCCCTCCAAAAAAACCACAAAAACGATCTATCGCTTTCGCCCCCCCCCCAAAAAAAAAAAAAGAAAGAACGACCTCCGGCGCCCGATCGATCGATTCGCACTCCTCAAAGCCGCGCCAAAGCCGCGCCAAGCGCCGAACGCGCCGAGTTCGGCCGCGCCTCGCCCTTGAGAGAGCCCTCCTTCAGGACGCGGAGGCCCTTGGCCTTCAAGCTCTGCTTCGCCAAGGCCTTCACCTGACAAGGCCGGGGCCGGCCGTGGCCCATGGCGCAGCCAGTCGGGTGGAAGTACCCCTTGTTCATACCGGTTCCTTGGCTTCCGTGGTTCCCAACCCACTTTATAAGGGGTATATATCCTTTTAGGGAAAGGGGTATGAACATTAGCAGGCCTTTTGGGTTCTTTTGTCCAAGGGGTATGTACAAGCACCCCTGGATTCAGTCCCTCCGGTTTGTCTGGCGGAAGCTAAGCCATTTCAGGGCTTCTTGGGTGGTGCAGGATTTCATCCACTTGAAGGGACACCAACAGGAAAACCCCGATAAATCCCATTTTGGGGGGTCCAAATCCTGAAAAACACACGCTCATACATGGCCATGGGTCGAAATCCCGTACCCCCAGTGACAACCACTAAAATAAAGCCTAAACTGGGTGGTGAATTCACCAATCTCAACCAAAATGGGATCCCAAAACGGTGTTGACCCACAGCCACATGACCCGAAGGCGGAGAAGGCCCCTGTAGTGGAAATTCATCACTTTTGGGAGGGAAACCCCCCCTAATAATGGGGCGGGTTTATTCATCCAACGCTCATCTCACTTCCCAAGTTGACTGGCCAAAAAAACTTTGAACCTTTTATTTACCACTAAAATGGTCTTTCCAAAAAGTTTCAAGTCCACCAACTCAGGAAGTGAGTCATATGGGGCGTTTTTTTTTTGGCCTCGGACCCCTTCCTCAACCCAACCCGCGGCCCGGGGCCTTCTCGGTGACGGCGTGGGGCTTGATGAAGACGAAGGCGGAGTTGGTGTTCCCCGCGTCTTTGCTGAAACATACCTCCCAGACCCCTCGCTCGTTTTTCAAATAACCCGCTGCGCGCCTCTTTTTCTGGGTATTGGTTTTTTTGGAAAGCCTGAGGTTTTCCTTGGTAAATACGAGGGTCGACATTGGAGTAGGGGGTATACTGGGGGTATGGGCATGAATTTTGATTGGGGAGTCTCTGGTGGACATCATTCAGGTGGGGGCTATGTCCGCCAACCACTTTCCAGGGGTTGCCTTATGTAAATTCATGTCCATATTTGCGCTTTCGCCCCTTGAAATATAAAACAACAAACCATCCAGTAGTGACAACGCCCGTTGAAACCAACAGGGGAAAATAATGGAAACAAACAATGTTCTCAAGCAAATGGAGGATACCTGGCATCGTTTTTCGGGGACCACCAAAAAATGGCTTCGATGTCCTTTTTTGTGCCTTCCCTTCAACCCAGAGGGATAAAAAAAAACACACACACACACACACCCAGCTCTCCTCAAGCTGGAGCCGAGCCCCAAGGGTCCGGAAAAAACAACAACAAAGAACAGAAAACAGTTCGAGCCCCGGTGAGGTGAGGTAGAGCCCTCAGCCAAGGGCTCAAGTCACACACCACAAAGCTGCCCACTGATTGGTGCTGAGCCCGGTGGTTTGGATGAAGGGGTGGTTTGGAGCCTTTTACCCGGCTGCTTCCGTTCAAATCCCATCCACAAATCCAAACACATCCAAACAAATCAGCGGCCCAATGATTGGTTCGGAGCCCCGCCGGGTGGGGTGGTAAACCCTGTTGCCCTCTGGAAACAGCAAGGGTTCAAATCCCCAACCAATCCAAACCACCGAGGGGTTACCTGAAAACCTGAGCCTTCCGTGAGACAAACCAGAGAAACGTTGAAACAAAACATGAGCCGCAACATGCAGGCTTCTTTTGGGGCAAAGCCTGTGTGAAGTGACCTTCACCATGGAAAGAGTACCCCCTACTCCAAATACCCTCTTTTCTCAGGGTATCATGTCGACCCTCTACTAAAAAAAGTATTTACCATAGAAAACCAGGTTCTCCAAAACATGCCCTGAAAAGAAGCGGGTATTTGAAACGAGTAAGGGGTATATGCAAAAGGAACCTTGGCTAAACCGTGGCTAAACAGCTTAAGCCCAATACGACCAAAGGCAGGTTGAAACAAGTGGTTGGTTTGAACCACTCACTTCCGACTGAGGCTGGCCGGTCCCTCGACTGCAAAGTTCTAAGCGGTACCTCCCCATTCTGAACCCAGGGATCCGGATCTTTCTAGAAAACCTCCAGAAATTCGGGGAAAACGGATCCGGTGTTCGAAAAGAACGAGGGTTGAAAAGAATGGATGAGTGGGCGTCTTTGGACCGAAGTGGCACCCCAATTTCCAGAATCGATCCCCTTGACACAGAGACAGTGAGCGTCCTAGACGTCCTCTCCGAAGCCCCAACCCAGAACAAAACACGGAATGCTGGACTGGAGGCTTAGGATCCTGTGGGTTCTTAAACAAAAAGACCCCCCAAAAAGATCCCATGCCTTGCTTTGCATGCTGGCCGGTGTCTCTTTTTCAAACCAGGTCACAAACAATTGCCCTTTAAACACATAAAATCAGGCCCAACTGGGAAGAGCCTCCAAAAAGCGAGTTGTTTTCTGGACATTGACGACCTTAAGATCAGGGGCCCCTACAGGGTTGGATTTGAAGTCAAACCAAAGGGAAACCAACAAGTTTAAGGGACCACGTGGGTGTTCCTGTTTGCAGTGGCCACCTCAAATGATGTTTGTGTTGCTTCACCTGCGCAAAAGCAAACCCTCAAAAAGATACCACCAAACAAAGACACGCATTCGGGTATGTGTCAAAACATGCAGCCCCAACAGTATTCCACTAAACAACACCCACATTTTAGGAACCCCCCACACCCTCACCCCATATCCCATCCGAGCCGCATTTCCCATGGCTGCCGAAAAAACTCTTCGGCAGCCAAGGCTTGAGCCAAAAGCTTGGATCGTAGCGGTCAAACTTCCAAAGGTGCCTGATTCGATTCCCCAACGTAAATACCAACAATCAACGGCTTCAACAGGTTTCAATCTGGTGCAGGATTTTGTCCATCCACCGTATCAGTAGGGGGGGCCTCCAAATTGTTGGTCGGAATCCCCACATTTCAGCCAGAAACGGGCCCCCCGTTTAAAAAACTGGGGTTGATGTTTGTTGCGTTGGCTGCATAGAGTTATGTGGCAGAGGCGGGAGCACCTTAAACTGGTGGCACCAGGTGATCGGTTGCCAGAACCTATGGTGACTCACTGGCGTCATAACCCATCTATGGCAGACCAAGATAGTAGTCCTATTTAGCTGGGCAGTCCCCAGGTCACCTGCATACAGGTCTATAACTTTTAGTGGGTTAAATAGAACAAGTACCCCCTACTCCAAATGCCTGTTTTTTTTTGTTTTGTTTTTTTTTTTAAACCTGGTTTTCCAAGGTAAATACCTCCTTTTTAGTAGAGGGTCGACATGATACCCTGAGAAAAGAGGGTATTGGGTGTAGGGGGTACCACTAAACCAACTAAAAACCCAAAAAGCTATTTTGAACCGGACGGCTGAGAACCACCTTTTGGTGTCCCTTTACACTGACCTGAAAACGGCTGGCAACGGGCTGAGGCAACTGCGAACCACCGGAGATGTTGAGCCTTCTGCCGCCAATCGCGAATCGTGGTCTTCAGCCCATAGATTCTTTTGGGAAAAGAGATGCACTCTCTATTTGGTATAGTTGACTTTCAAGGGAACCCCGCAAAACGAAAACAGGGCACTTTGCTTTGAGATAGTTGATTGTAAAGGGCGACCTCTCAATTTAAAAAAAGGCACCACCGGTGTCTGGAAAATTGAATTGCCAAGTGAGGTACCCCCAAGTAAGTACCCCGTTTGTCTGACCGATTCTAGGTGGCACATGTTGCAACCGCACCAAACGAAACAAATGCCGCCGCCGACGGAGGGTGCCTTTGTTGGAACCCCCATTTCCAGACTTAGGTCCCGAAATACTTTAAGCGACCACGGCCAACCATAAAGCAGGTAGAAGGCAATCTACCAACGGGTTGCTTGGGGGCAAATGATGCCTTACCTTAGGGAAGAGGAACATGATCCCGCCAAAACAAGCTTTCTAGGCCCCGCAAAACACACACACTCATGGAACCTTCTTTGGTCGAATTCCCTCCCCCGCAAAGCTCAAACATTACAGTTTCCAGGTGGGAAATGTTGTACGTGAACGAACCACAGCCAATTACTTTGAAAGTAGTGTCCCCCCCGGCAATACTACCATTGTGCTCAAATATGGGGGAAGGGTGCTCTTGTTCGGAACCCCTTTTCTATACTAAGGTGGGGGTGCTTCCCGCAATTCACAGTTTCAGACCACCTCCAACCACAAAACTGGTAGCAGGCAACCAAAGGGTTGCACGGATTTGGGGTTCTCCCAATCCACGCTCTCCCCAATTCCAGCTTTCCTCCCCCCCCCCGAAAAGAAAAAAAAATGGAGCCCGAAATGGAACTTCCGTGGTCCCCAAACTCCGTTTGTCTGCGACCCGGAGGGGATTTCCGTTGCTTCACAGGATTGTACGTTATATTTATATGGGTATTCTCAACATAGGCCAATTTAGGGGGCCCCCCCACATATTTTTGGAAACACCCAGAAGTGGGTTTCTCAAAATGGTGACCCTCTTTAAAGGGTGCCTGGCCCCCCCCCAATATGTCTGGAAACACGTGAGAGTTGTTCTAAAACTTCACTACCCTGGGCCCAAACCTAAACCTGAACAGAACTCCGACAAACAAAAGCAACCACCACAAAAGAAAACTGGAGCCAAGAACAGTGACTAGGTCCTCCAGTAGAGGGGTTAGAACAAGGGTACCTGTATTTGGTCACCTTCAAGGGCGCCTCCTTTAAGGGCTTGATAACGGTTTTTGTTGATCTCCCTCGCCCTCCCCTCCCGAACTCCCTCCCCCCCAGCCCCCATAAAGATTGGCTAGGTGAAGAAACCTCGTGCCTGAAAAAAATATATTAACAAACAAAAACACACACACACACCCTGAGCCGCGGGCGCTCCAGCGCCGCCAGGAGCGTTCGAGCTCCACCTGGCCTCGGAGCAACTCGCCGACCGCCTCGTCTCGGCGAAAAACATGGGCTGCGTAGAGCGGCTAAGGACGCACCAGGAAAAGAAACCAGGGAAATTCTTGCAGACATTTGCAGACATCTGCAGACCTTCCATGAAGTCCATCTGTAAACCTTGCAATAATTTCCATGGGTTTGCTAGCGGATTTCATGGAATGTCTGCAGATGTGACTCTAATCCATAAGCTGAATTGATTAACAAATACCCCAGGCAAAAGACCTTGGTGAGCTCATGTTTGAAACTAGAACGTTTGTTGTTTGTAGGGGAATCGAATCCTTACAGGGGTTCTTTAGGTGGGCCAGGATTTCGTGCCTCATGTCCACAGTAATTGGAGTGACTTTGGATGAAGGGGTATGCACCCTGTTCTCTGTCCTGGGGGAAAAGGGAAAGGAAAAGAAACTTGGCTAAACCATGATGCAAAACTTTAAGCCAATGCTACCAAAGGCTGATTGAAACAAGTGGCAAACCACTCACTTCCGACCGAGTGGACTGGCAAGAAAAGTGCCTGGACTTTGCAAATTTGTGTTTGCCACTCGAATGGTCCAAGCCCAAAAAGTGACTAAAGTCCACGAAGATTTCCTGTTTTATTCGGTTCTGGCGGAGCTGGCACCCCGTGCTACCAAAGTCAACGCCCTGGTAGGTTGCAAGGCCAACAATGCCAGCTTCTGACACTCAAAATCATGCGTTCGATGGCCTCCCCCGATTGGAGACGCAGCCTGGGGAAGCCATTTCTGTCCAACGGGCGAGGTCACACCAACGATCAAAAAGGCTTCCAGACGAACTCACATCAAAAACCCACCAAGGATCTGTCTCAAAAAATCCATTCCCCGCTCTTCCGGTCCGAGCTTTTTGACGTGAAGAAAGGCGCCCGACTGGGTCCCGTGCGCTGCCCCGCGTTGAACCTGAGGCCCCAAGCATCTGGGAAACGGATTGGATGCGGTTTTTATGGATCCACCCCTGTAGGATATCAAAAGAGTACTAAAAGAGTACTAAAAAAGAACCTACAGGGGGAGAACAGGTGAAATCCACAAAGAGCGCATCCAAACCGTTTCCTAGAAAGCAGTACCAAGAGCAAAGCCAAAAAAAAGAAGAAACAGCCGAACACAAACTGCAGTGGATTCACGGAAGCCAGTTCGCACTCTGGATGGTTGCGAAATCCATTTCGCACCACTTTGAAACCATAGGAAAACCTTGGCTGGTATTTACAAGGGAAGCATGATTCACAGGGTTCTCAGGTGGTGCAGGATTTCGTCCATCCGCAGGATCACCGAAACGAAACCATGGAATCTGCGAAAAAATATTCTTCCCTAAGCGGAATTGAGTAAGGGATCCCCAAATAAAGGACCTTTATCATGGTGAGCTCGTTATACCCCCAGGTGAGCTCGCTATCATATAGGCACAGGGAATGACGATTTCTCTGTAAATGCCGACCAACACTGGTCACCGGATCTCCCCAAAGCAAAAGTTGATCAATTTTGTGTGGTGCTTCCCTGGAAACAATCGACACCGTTTGAGGTTCCAAAGCAGGAAATCCTGGAAACGCCTCAAACTATTTCAAACTTCTTGGACTCCGACGATGAAACCTACAAACGAGAGGCTGACATACAATTTTCACCTTCACTACTGGTTCTCGTTGAGAGTTCTAGTTGGTTCTTGTTTGACCCTTTAACTCCCTCTAACTTCCAACCACCAAGTACTTGGTGGTTGGAAGCTAGAGGGAGTTAAAGGGTCAAACAAGAACCAACTAGAACTCTCAACGAGAACCAACTCTCAACAAGGACCAGGGGTTCAAATCCCTAAACCACTCATTTAGGGGAAGCTAACAAATAGCCAAAGCACAAAACACAAAACAACAGCTTTCTCGTGCCCTTCGAAGTCACCTCGCCAAAATCCCTGAACCACTCAAACGGGATTTTGAGGATGCCTAACTTTTCCCACTCGCAGAAAGCACACAAACATTGGTGTCCTTTTTGGAAAATAGATGGCCCTGGGAGATGATTAAACCACCAAGTAAACCAGGAATCGCCTTCTATCCTTTAAGCAAAAGAACCAAAAAGGACACGTTTGCACACAATCCGCAGGCTCAACATGAAACAAATAGAAAACATCGTCCGCGCGCTTGGAGAACAAAACACATGAGGAAAATAATAATAATAATAAAAAGGCAACACAAAACAAAAAAACAAACACTTCGCCGGGGTTGCCCCGCGTGCAGACCGTTGGCTCTCACGCCATTCCCATCCCATTCCCCCCCGCCCCCGGGCAAAGCGGGCAAAGCCGCACCTCATGCCCCAGATCTGGGCGCGGTGGTTCAACGCCTGGCCAGGGTAAAGCTCAAAGCAACCCACGTGCCTTGCCGTCGGGCAGTCGGGCAGCGGTTCATTCATGCACGGGATTGTCATCCCTTGCCGGAAAAAAAAACAAGTCGCCACGTTTTACGGCATATGTCGCAAGTCTCTCTGCTCACTTGCTTCCTCGGACGAATAGGAATGAAGGCTTCAGCTGAGACCTTGACAAACCAAAATGGGGCCGCTTGTTGAAAGTCGAATTCAAAGGACACCGCCCTCCAGAAAACCGGGTGTCCCAGCCCACAGGTCTTGAACCATAGGTGTCCTTTTGGGGAAAATTGATGGGTTTCCGTGAGCCAGGAATCGCCCTCTTTTTTTCGACCAAATCCACCAAAAATTGGACACCTACACCCGCTTTTGCATTTTTGGGAGAACCTGGTTTTCCATAGTAGATACCTGCTTTTTTAGTAGAGGGTCGACATGATACCAACTAAAACAAGACCGGGTATTTGGAGTAGGGGGCTGTCTCGAACGGCCAGGCGAGTGAAGCCACGAAGTCGGACCACTCGCCTTGTCCCTGGTCACGCAAATGCCCCCGTGCCGCAGCAAACCGTAGAGCCAAACCTCGAATCCGTCCGATTTTTCCGTGCGAGGTGGGCCAAATGGGAATCTGAACAACTGCAACAGGTGTTTTTCCTCGCTGGTGAAAACGGGGGGGGGGGGGATTTTTAGAAAAACAAAAACGGTACAATGATTTAACGTTTAAAGGTTGTTAAGGCCTTGTTTGGTTCTGAATTATGTTTTTGAGTCACTACCCTTTTGCGGGGGGGGGTTGCAGGAATGATGTGTATGGTCCCTGGTTTAAAACATTCTTTCGGTGATGCAGCGCATCCCGTTCAACCCCATCCACGGCGTGCTCCAAGCCCAATGGCCAAGGAGGCTACTTGAAAGGACTACTGCTGACAGTGTCGCCGGTTCTTTGAGCAAACCACTACCATCTGGCAGAAAGACTCAGGGTTGATTTTGACCGGCTCGGCCTTGTCCAGGAATGTGACATCCTCCAAGCTCCTCCAAGCTACGCTCTAACGGTTGTTCAGATGTTGAAAAGGGATGCCACCCCCCAAAAGCAACGTTCAGAACCCCTCAACATATGGTTCTCTTAAAAAGGTCAGTGTTCTTTTTGGTTTCCTGTTGAAACCACCCAATAAAAGGCACTTTTACAAACAAAAACAAACATACTTTCAGTTGCTTCAGCCCCTCGAAACATGAACATATTTCCAGTAGTCAATTTAGTTTCCTTTAAAAACAAGAAGCGAAAATCAAACAAATGAACGTTCCCTGAACCAAGGTCCCTCGTGAGCTGGGAAGGTCGGCCAGTGGTGCCAAAACGGTCTTCAAAGGCTCACTGGCTGAGTGGATGGCCCAAAAAAGTCCAAACTTTATATTTACCACTAAAATGGTCTTCCCAAGAAGTTTAAAGTTCATGAACTCAGGAAGTGAGAAAGTGAAGAAACCCGGGATTCCACACTGCCATTCAGCAAGGGGCGGTAGCAAAACAAAAACACAAACGGAAGTAAGAACTCAAGCAGCGAGACCCCTTTAGCCCTCAAGCTAAGTGGAAACACATTCATCAGCAAGGGGCGGTCATCTGCTCAGTTGTTCAGCGACCCTGGAACAAAAAGGGAACCCATTGTTGGGAAGACCATTTCTTGTTGGGCAGCCACCAAAAAAAGAAAAAAGGAAAAAGGGTGCCACTGAACAACGGTCATCTCAACCAACATTTTTGTCTTTGGCCGGCCTGGACTAATTGCAGCTCCGCTGCGGCGTCATCGGGCTCATCGTCGCCCACGATGAACAAGCTCTTCTCCAACCTTAGCTTCACAACCCCGTGCGCTTCCTACCTTTGCCAGGATTGCATCCTCTCGAGCTGTGTCTCAGCGGTTTGCATGTGCCCGGCCTAGAAGGATCTGTTGTAATACCCCGGATTAATAAACCCCTGGTTGATTTTGATCGGGGGGTGTCCCCTTTTAGTGGTTGGATTCAGACCACTTTTGGAGGGGTTTCCACCCCCAGATTAATCAACCAGGGGTCGACATTAATCCGGGGTCGACATTAAAGGCCCCGGACCTTGTCGCGCTAAGTCCGGGTGCGGCGGCACGAAACGGAGTGTTTTTTTGCGCCAGCCCCCTACTGAACATGAGCCGAGCCAAAGCCCGCTTTCCGAGTGGATGGCCCGAACAACGTCCAAACTGTTGTTCAGCACCGAAATGGCCGTCGCAAAAAGAGACTGAAGTCCAGGAACTCAGGAAGTAAGTAACCTTGGGATGGGCGAGGGCGTCCAAAGTAGCTCCGACTGCAGGTTTCACGCCAAACAACGCCCACAATTAGCACAACTCCTTGTTTGGTACTTAAATCTAAAGGAAAACTCCCTCACAAGAAAGAGAAAGGGCACCTGCGGGTGTCTGGGACAATGCAAATCCTGGCTGATTTATTCGGGCAGGTGTGCCATTAGAGATGGATAGATTCAAGGGTTACCGGTTTGGGGCCCAAAAGGAATCAACAAACCGTCCAAGTGCGCTGCTCGCACATTTTCACGCTTGAACAGCCACACTGCGGATGCAACGGATGTAAAACCCCATATTGACCGATCAAATTCTTCACCCCCCTCTGCGTGTTAAAGGGGCCTTTCACAAAGCCGCCAAACAGTAACACAACAGAGGGAGAAGGTCAGGGGAACCATTGCTCACATGCAAACCATGACGGCTGCGCTTTTAGCGCCACCGCCAAGATGAATAGCTTCCGCTACTGTCACCCCATCCGCTCCATTCGGACCAATTCAGCCAGCTGCCACGGCTCCAATGCTCACCCTCGCGGGCTGCATTGTGAGCAAGGTGCTTGCTGCTCTCGTTCCTCGAAAATTCAATCGAGTTACGTGCATACCGCTCGTTCTGGCTGAAAATCCAGTCCATCTCGTTGCGGAGGTCGTCCAACGTGTTGCCTCGCAAACCAATGCTGCGGGGCCTATTCTGCTCCATCACCACGTTGACGAAAGCTCTCGGGCTGTAAGGCATCCCTTGGAACAATACGATCCAGCGAGAGGACAACGCCTCTTGCAGCTCGTTGGGCAGGAACTCCAAATCTGTCTTGATATACGCGAGCCTTGCGATTCGCGACTCCGAAGTTGATCCAAGGCCAACTCCCAGAGTGCGCTGGGCCTGCGACTGCTTTGGAGCAGCCAAGACGAGATTGGCGCTCAGCTCCATGCGGAGCATATCCGCCTCCCGACGGCCCACCTCAAGCATACGAACCCTGTGCTGAAGATCGAGTTCGTAGCGGTCAAGCAGAGAGTGGTAGCCGTTCTTCAGGGCGGACTTGAGCTTCTTCCGTGCCTCCTGAATAACAGCACTGTCCGGGGAGTTCAAGCCACGAATGATGCTGTTACGATCCTCCTCGCGAAGGTCGAATGTTCCCACAGATGCAAGGACCTGAGATGTGACGTGGGTGCTGAGGCCCATCTTCTTCAACAGGTTGGAACGCTGCATGATGTAATTCTTTTGCTGCTCTTTCAACAGGCGTGGATTAAGGGGAGACAGCTGCCCACATGATGAGCAGTGCACCTGCCCTCGAAGACACTGTTGTTGCAAACCGGGCACGTGGCGACATTCAGCTCAGCGTTCTCCATTGGGTTGAAAGTCTTCTGCCTCTTCGCTTCCCCTTGCGGGGCGCGAGGAGAGGCCACATTTGTGCGCGTCGTAGCAATACGTTCCAGCGCCGTTGAACGATCATCAACCACAGCTTGGTCGCGCTTCATCCCCTGGGGTTCATCTTCAGTCGCCTCAGCTGGTGCACCTGCATCCGATTGCTCGGAGCGAGTGTACCATACATCACCATTTGTAGCGTCCAATACCGAAATCATCGTGTAGTTGGGCACCTTGTCGCGCGTGAGGACGCCATCGCTCTCCGTCTTGAAAAAGCAAAGCCCTGCGCGAATGGCCATTCTGAGGTCGATCTGTATCACCTGAAATGTAATGTTCATTCGTGCTGGGGACGTCGGCGAAGAAGACGTGAGGCCGGCCTGTTTCATGCTGATCTCCGCCGCCTGGCAATAGTCCGTTCCGCATGATATTAGCGAAATTCCGCTTATCAGTGCGGTGATAAAGCACAGTTGGAGGATTGCTGCAAACATTCCAGCCGGACCAGCGCCCGAGGTCAGTTCCCGGGTTCACGTACCACTCCTTCGCGATGCCGGAGTCGTTGATCTGGAGCCAGTCCTCATGGCCTTGAGAGGCCTTCAGCTTGAAAAGCCAATGAGAACATGGGACGTCTCCGCACCGGCTTGCGTCCGGGCAACCAAGGCCGATGAACCTCTGCTTCTTATCCAGCTTGAAGATATCCATGATGTTCTGAATATTCCATGGAATGGGATGTCGCAGCTCCTTGCGAAGCGCGAGTCCCAGCTCTTCGAGGTCCATGTAGCCGTCCTACTCCATCACATACCCGCATCCTTCTGTTCCACGACCACGAAGGATCTTGGAGATGCATGTCAGGGAACGGTGGTATTCATCAATGATTCTCTTGACGGAAGGATCGTAATCGAAAGAGGGCTGCTTGATGATGTCGAGTCTCTTGGGGCCCTCGCCGTAGTCGACACGCCATCATGAACGCTATACACCTAGCAGTCATAATGGCCCCCAGTCACGCTCCTCCCGTAGGAGTCGAGTGGTACCGGCCTGCTCACCTCCTCGTCCCTCTTTGCCACCGCAGCCGCCTTTGCACCGGCTTGCGCCGGGCGAACACTTTCGGAAACATCTGCACCGGAAGGCTCGCCTGAAGTTGCAAACTCGGCTGGGTTGACGGGGGCGAAATCGAGAGGCTGCCGGACTTCCACTTCTTCACGGGTGAAAGGGAGCCCGATCATCTCTGACAAAGAAACACCGCACCTCGTTAGCGTCTCCTTGCAGTACGCGAGAACCTCAACGTTGACTGTGCAATCTTCTTGGTGGCGCAGCTCAAGCACATCGATCGGACGCACGGTACAGTCGTGTGAACGGATCAGCTCGGCTACGCTGCCCATCGCGGGGCGCAAGATGGAAAGCATATACAACATGTGATGGGTGCCGCGCATGAACTGGACAGTCTTCGTGATGTTGTCGTCACTGAAGCACATATGATACCTGTCCAGCAAATCGATGGTCTCGACAAAGGGTGTAGCATCTACGTACACAAGCATATTGTTGGGGTCGCCGATGATAAAGTCCCGGACTTCCCCCAAATCATAGAGAAGCCGTAGAGATAGCTTTTCGCGCCGGTCATGACACCAAGGCATGCGCAGCCCTTGCGGGCCGCGAAATCCCTGGTCCAAGCCAGGTGCCTCTTGGTGTCTGCCAGCAACTCACTGGCTTCGCCGGCGGGGTGGTCGAACGGGTAGGTGCCGCTGGGCTCAATGCCGTCCTTCCCAACAAGCTCGTTGCCGTTCCAATAGATCATAGGAACGATGGTCGCCGTCGGGTAGTCCGTACGCACCTCGTCGATAAGGGCGGCCATGCGCTTGCAAAGCTGCTGCAGGCCTTTACCCCAAAGCATTTCTGCCCTCCATGCACCGACACGCGCCGGGCGAGAAGCATCCAAGCGTTCTGCAAAATCATATTTGCGGAGCTTCTTCTTCTTGCCCGAAACCATTGACAGTCCTGAGTCAGCGACAGTCAAATAAATAAGGAGGTCGCGATCTGGTACACGTGGAGCCTGCACAACCTTCAAGTAAGGTTCGCTAATAGTTAACAGGGGTGTAAGCAACTGCAAATAATGCGGTTGGTCCTGCACCCATGTATGGATAAGCGGGTCGTCTCCAGGAGGCCCTTGACCGTAGCGGCGAGGTTAGCGTCGTACTTGCCGTTCGTGCATACCGATGTGGTAGCAACAGTCTCCATCCACCGCCTCCATGCCGGATCGCAATCCCTCGCGGGATGCGCCATAGCCGTTGGGCCGCTCATTGCGAAAACGATGCAGCACAATTACTCGAAAGCAACGGCTGCATGGTGGCATGTTCGGAAAATGCATTGTGAACGGCATCAGTGTAAATGTACGTGTATCCCTCGGCTTCCTTCAAGTGGGTGCCACGGCTTTCATCATGCTCGTGAGAACCATCACATTTGAAGTACTCAACAACGGAAATAGTGGGCATATTACTGGCAACGACCCATTGCTTTTTCATTGGTTTTCCATTTCTCCCTTTTATGCCGATTTTACAACCATGGAATTCGTACTTGTTCATCTTGTACTTAGTTAAGAAACTCCATAGTTCAGGCCATTTCCAATAACGACACGCCTTAGGGAGTTCAAAGGCAACTCTAATGTCATTAGAATAAACATCATTGAGAATGCGTTTGAACCCTCTCAACAGTGATCGAAATTGCTTGATGTGGCCCTCAATCTTGGCAGCACCTTTGGGAGTTTGCTGGTTGACATAACCCCACGGGCAACCTCCAGTGCACGGCAACGAGACGTAGAACATAGGATTCTTGCTCCTAAATTCGGCGATTTCACGGCTCAACCACTGCCTGCACGTATCGGAGCACCCGTCTTCGGTTTCCGTTACCCGAATGACACGGCAACCTTTTGAAGAGTCTCTTGATTCGCCCAACCGTGAGGTCGTCGAACAACAGAATTCAATAAGGAGGCGCTTGGGCTGAACGTTGCATAATGCAGCGATTTGGCCCCCCTGATCGCTAACTTCTCCGGCCTTGGCGCATGGGGAGAGCAGCAAACTGGTGGCACAGGCTCGCGCCTGGCGACTGGGGGAGATTCCGATCAGCTCAAGTGCATGGTGCCACACCGGGGTGCTGTCAAACGCCTTGGTCAAGATGTCTGCAGC